TGGTTGTTTCCGTACCGCATCCGCGTAGGAGGGAGAGGCTCCAGCCACGAGGTCTCGTATCTGGAGGCCCTCTACTGCGGTTTTCATCCCACGCAGCTCCTCCACAATCTCCGCATCCCCGTCCGCGGACGTGATGCGGGAGCTCAGGACCTCGACTTTTTCATGAACGTAGTTCTTGACCTGCGCTGCACTATCGCTCACCACCTGGGTTATCCTCCTACAGGTTTCTTCGGTAGCCATATTGGTGGTTGTGTTTGTAACCTCTGTACTTTCTTCTATCCTTTCTTTTAACTTGTTTTCCAATTTTTTAAACCTTTGTTGGAGGCTTTCTTCTATTTCCTGCAAGAACGCTTTATTAGTACAGACGGTCTCCGATATGGAGTCCATTTTTTCTGTTAATTTGTAAATTCTGTCCTCCCTTTCCTCGGTCGGCTCGCTCTGCGGTTCTGCCCTTTCTTCCGCCGGTCTCTTTTCCGTTTTTTCCCCCTCCTTAACCAATTCGTATAGTCTCCCGATCGCCGCAGTCACGTCAACTTTGATGTCGCCTCGGATATTTCTGGATTGTGTTAGGAGTGATTTGGCCCTGACCACAATGGCCTTGGCCTCCGCACTCCTTGAGGCGTAATGTTTTTTAGCTGCTTTGGCGATCGGCGGCGACCAGGTTTGCGCCTCTGATGACGTTCGGCGCGTGAGTACTTTGGTCTCGTTTAAGGAGGAGGGGACCACTCTTGGTTTTTCCGCCGTCTTTGTCGGGGGGCCAGAGGGCCGTATGATCGGCGATTTGGTGGGCGATCTCCTCGGCGCTGGTTTGCCGCCCTCCCATTCGCCGATGCTGCGCCTCACATTGGAGGTCAGCGCCGGCGGCGCCGAAGGTCCCGCCCTGGTAAACTCCGGGCTCTCGGCTCCAGGAGAGGCTTCTACAGCCTTTTTTGCTGGTGTCCTTATACAGGACATGGTGGTTTTCTGTTGTGTGTGCGGTGTGTTGTATAAGGACCACCGACGCACACGAGAAGGATTGTTCCGCCGGTATAGGCTTGTCAGGTCTATAATAATAGACAGAACAACTGCGAAAGCAGAGTGAAAATAGAAAGAACAAATAAACAATTCAAAATAAAAAGTCTAAATCAAAATAGCAAAGCAATGAACTACAAGTCGATATCTCTGCGCAGCAGAGAGGTCATATGGGGTAGGGATGTATGGTCCCTAGTCCTAATCCTAAAACAAAAGTCAAATCAAAATAAAATAGTAACAATAAAAATAAAACTAAAATTAGCAGTTACCAGTAACACTCTGTCTAAGCTAGGGGATGTGACGTCCCTGTCCCAAAACTATCTAAAATAAACTAAACTAACTAAAAATATAAAAAATATTATAAAAATATTTTGCTCCCCTGCTTTCACCCAAGTGTTTGGCTCCCCTGGTCAAAGTTTACCTCACCAGTGAAACCCGGGAGGGCGGGCGGGCAATTTTTTAATTTTCTACCGAACGGATTTTAACAAACGAGGTGTCGGGTGATAGGGCTAGACGAGCCCTATCCGAATATGTAATAATTTGGAAAAACAAATGAGGGGTTGCCAAAATATTAGCCGAAAACGTGTTAATTTAACAAAATTTTACACCGAAAACTATCTTTCACAGGTGATAGGTCTCCGACGGGACGCCGGAGATGCTTCAGGCGGCGGTGGTATGCAGGGGAGGTGTCAACGCAGCGATGGTGTAAGCTTCCAGCACCAAAACGACCAGGAACACAGGTAGGTATACTTTTAAAAGTATGTTTTTGTAGCTTTTGTTACAGAATTACAACGAAAATTGAAAAATTTAGAAAATCTACACAGCGAAACCCCGAAAAGGAGGTGTCCGCGTATAGGCGACGCCGTTGCCGAATTTTAGAAACCAAAATGATCGATATATGTTAGAAAACAAAAGAGTTATTAATTTTTTAAAGAAATTTTTCTAAGTAAATATATAGGCGTCAATATATAAGTTTTGTGATAAATTCCAATAATATCTATCCGAAACAGTATATAATAGCTACTGGTGTATCAATAGAACGCTCAGGTACAAGTTCAAAGTCAATTTTAGCTAGAAAACTTTAGGTCGATTTTCAAAAATTCACTCCCTAAGGTAACCTCGGTATCGATTAAGTCGATTATTGAATGTGAAAATATAATCTCGGTACAATTTTTAATTTTCTACCGAACGGATTTTAACAAACGAGGTGTCGGGTGATAGGGCTAGACGAGCCCTATCCGAATATGTAATAATTTGGAAAAACAAATGAGGGGTTGCCAAAATATTAGCCGAAAACGTGTTAATTTAACAAAATTTTACACCGAAAACTATCTTTCACAGGTGATAGGTCTCCGACGGGACGCCGGAGATGCTTCAGGCGGCGGTGGTATGCAGGGGAGGTGTCAACGCAGCGATGGTGTAAGCTTCCAGCACCAAAACGACCAGGAACACAGGTAGGTATACTTTTAAAAGTATGTTTTTGTAGCTTTTGTTACAGAATTACAACGAAAATTGAAAAATTTAGAAAATCTACACAGCGAAACCCCGAAAAGGAGGTGTCCGCGTATAGGCGACGCCGTTGCCGAATTTTAGAAACCAAAATGATCGATATATGTTAGAAAACAAAAGAGTTATTAATTTTTTAAAGAAATTTTTCTAAGTAAATATATAGGCGTCAATATATAAGTTTTGTGATAAATTCCAATAATATCTATCCGAAACAGTATATAATAGCTACTGGTGTATCAATAGAACGCTCAGGTACAAGTTCAAAGTCAATTTTAGCTAGAAAACTTTAGGTCGATTTTCAAAAATTCACTCCCTAAGGTAACCTCGGTATCGATTAAGTCGATTATTGAATGTGAAAATATAATCTCGGTACAATTTTTAATTTTCTACCGAACGGATTTTAACAAACGAGGTGTCGGGTGATAGGGCTAGACGAGCCCTATCCGAATATGTAATAATTTGGAAAAACAAATGAGGGGTTGCCAAAATATTAGCCGAAAACGTGTTAATTTAACAAAATTTTACACCGAAAACTATCTTTCACAGGTGATAGGTCTCCGACGGGACGCCGGAGATGCTTCAGGCGGCGGTGGTATGCAGGGGAGGTGTCAACGCAGCGATGGTGTAAGCTTCCAGCACCAAAACGACCAGGAACACAGGTAGGTATACTTTTAAAAGTATGTTTTTGTAGCTTTTGTTACAGAATTACAACGAAAATTGAAAAATTTAGAAAATCTACACAGCGAAACCCCGAAAAGGAGGTGTCCGCGTATAGGCGACGCCGTTGCCGAATTTTAGAAACCAAAATGATCGATATATGTTAGAAAACAAAAGAGTTATTAATTTTTTAAAGAAATTTTTCTAAGTAAATATATAGGCGTCAATATATAAGTTTTGTGATAAATTCCAATAATATCTATCCGAAACAGTATATAATAGCTACTGGTGTATCAATAGAACGCTCAGGTACAAGTTCAAAGTCAATTTTAGCTAGAAAACTTTAGGTCGATTTTCAAAAATTCACTCCCTAAGGTAACCTCGGTATCGATTAAGTCGATTATTGAATGTGAAAATATAATCTCGGTACAATTTTTAATTTTCTACCGAACGGATTTTAACAAACGAGGTGTCGGGTGATAGGGCTAGACGAGCCCTATCCGAATATGTAATAATTTGGAAAAACAAATGAGGGGTTGCCAAAATATTAGCCGAAAACGTGTTAATTTAACAAAATTTTACACCGAAAACTATCTTTCACAGGTGATAGGTCTCCGACGGGACGCCGGAGGTGCTTCAGGCGGCGGTGGTATGCAGGGGAGGTGTCAACGCAGCGATGGTGTAAGCTTCCAGGAAGAATAACGAAGGCAACAACACCAGAAGAAACAAGAAAAACAAAGAAAACACAGCAATCCACAGAAGCAAGAAAAAAAAAACACAACCCAGGAGGCAAGGAAAAGGAGCAGGAAGGAGGAAAAAGAAAAAAACAATAAGCAAAAAACGCACAAAGAAAAAACGGACAACAAAGAAGCAATAGAAAAAAACAACCAAAACAAAGGCACAGGCAAAAGCCAGGGAAATAAAAAAGAAGAAACAGAGAGACAAAAAGAAAGAATACGAAAAAAGAAAACAAGTATCCCAGAAAAGGAAGAGAAAAAAAGGATGAGGAAACAGCACAACAGAGGAAAACAAAAGAAAGGAGAAAAAGACAACAACAGAGCAGAAAAAAAACAATCCAAAAAGCAGACAAGAAAACACATCCAGCAAAAGGCAGCAGAAAAAAAGACAACCCACTCATAAAAAGGAGAGGCAGAAAAGAAGAAAAAAAGAACCAAAAAGCAGAGAAACAGAAACAAAAGAGAAAAAAGAAAACAAAGAAAGCAAAAAAGCCAAAAAAGAAGGAGAGTCACCATAAAAGAAGACCAAAAGAGAGAAGGGAAAAGAAAAACAGACAAACCAAAAAGAAAAATCCAAGAGAAAAACGTCAGCGAACACCAAGAAATCAAAGACGAAAAAAGAAAAAAGAAGGGGGGACACCAAAAAACCACCAAACAAAGACGAACAAAATAGCATAAAGAAGAAGAGAATATAAAAAAAAACAGGAAAAGAGGCCAAGACACAGCCAAGGGACCAATGAGAAAAAAATAAAACCCAGAAAACAAGCAGTGAAACAAAACCAAGGAAGAAGCCAGAAGGGACACAGACAAGTTAAAAAAGACCAAAAGACAAAGCAGGCATATCCATGCCTCCCAAGACAGAGCAAACCAAAAGAGAAAAACAGCCAGACCAAAGGCGAGAGAACAAAGAATGAAGACAAAGAAGAAAAACAAAAAAAAAACAGAACATTGCACAGCAAAGAGAGGAAAAAAAGTAAAGCAACATAAAAGCAGGTTCAAACAAAACAAAAACCAGACACACAAGACCCCAACAAACAGAAGAACAGCAAGAACATAGAAAAAAAAATAGATCCAGGAAAAGAAAGAATGCACAACATAGACAAGAGAAGGGAAAAGGAAAAAAAAGGAAGACCACCAAGGAGCAAAAGAAAACAGAAGAGCAAAGCAAAGCACAGGAGGCAAGCAGAAAGAGAAGAACAAGGAAGAAACAGGGCAAGAAATAAATCCAAGAGGAACATCGCAAAAGCAGCAGGGACACAAAAAGACAGAAGCAAGCAAGGAACAGAAGCAAGACAAAAAAAAACCAGGAGCAAAAAAGAGGGCACATGAGAGAAGAGTCAGCAGAAAGACAGAAGCAAGGAAAAGACAAAAAAATCCAAGACACCCAAGAACCAGCACAGGGACGGAAAAAGAACAAAAGGCAACAGAAAAGTGAAGCGAAAGAAAGAACCAAGGAAGAAAGAAAAGGCAAGAACACAACAAGAGGCACAATGGATAACGAAAGAAAAAGAGCAAGGACAAGAGAAAACAGGAGAGAAACAAAAAAAAAATAATGAGGCAAGAAAGCACAAGAGCAAAAGAAAAGAGACAAGAGCACAAGAACGAAGCAACAGGATCAAGAGAAGACACAAAACAGAGTAGAGGGAGAAACGAAAAAGAAAAAAAACCAAGCAGAAACAGAGGCCAACAACACAGTAAAAAGAAAAAAGGCAAAGAGGAGTTAAAAGACAGGAAGAAAGGAGAAGAAAACAAAAAAAGAACAAAGGAAGAATCCGCAAAGCAAAGCAGAGGGAGAGAAGAAAAAACAGGAAAGAACACAAAAGCAAAAAAACCAGGAAGAAAAAAGCCAGAAGAGGCAAGAAGAAAACAAGCAGAGTCCAAGCAAGAGGCAAGCAACAACAGAAAGATAAAAACAGAGAGCAGCAGCAGAAATAGGAAAAAGACCAAAGAGCAACAGACAAAAAACACCAGGAATGACAAAACAAAAACCAAGGAGGGAGACTAAAAGGCAAAAAGAGTAAAAGAAAAAGAGCACAAAAAACCAACCAAAACGCAAGCAAGGGAGAGAACAAGCGAAGAAGCAAGAAGAGTCATAAAAGCAGAGGAAAACAAGAGAACACCCCCAGCAAACCAAAAATCCCAGGGAGAAGACCAGCAAAAGCCAGATAAAAAAAAAGCACCAAAACGACCAGGAACACAGGTAGGTATACTTTTAAAAGTATGTTTTTGTAGCTTTTGTTACAGAATTACAACGAAAATTGAAAAATTTAGAAAATCTACACAGCGAAACCCCAAAAAGGAGGTGTCCGCGTATAGGCGACGCCGTTGCCGAATTTTAGAAACCAAAAATGATCGATATATGTTAGAAAACAAAAGAGTTATTAATTTTTTTAAAGAAATTTTTCTAAGTAAATATATAGGCGTCAATATATAAGTTTTGTGATAAATTCCAATAATATCTATCCGAAACAGTATATAATAGCTACTGGTGTATCAATAGAACGCTCAGGTACAAGTTCAAAGTCAATTTTAGCTAGAAAACTTTAGGTCGATTTTCAAAAATTCACTCCCTAAGGTAACCTCGGTATCGATTAAGTCGATTATTGAATGTGAAAATATAATCTCGGTACAATTTTTAATTTTCTACCGAACGGATTTTAACAAACGAGGTGTCGGGTGATAGGGCTAGACGAGCCCTATCCGAATATGTAATAATTTGGAAAAACAAATGAGGGGTTGCCAAAATATTAGCCGAAAACGTGTTAATTTAACAAAATTTTTACACCGAAAACATACTTTCAACAGGTGATGGTCTCCGACGGGACGCCGGAGATGCTTCAGGGAGGCGGTGGTATGCAGGGGAGGTGTCAACGCAGCGATGGTGTAAGCTTCCAGCACCAAAACGACCAGGAACACAGGTAGGTATACTTTAAAAGTTATGTTTTTGTAGCTTTTGTTACAGAATTACAACGAAAATTGAAAAATTTAGAAAATCTACACAGCGAAACCCCGGAAAAGGAGGTGTCCGCGTATAGGCGACGCCGTTGTCGAATTTGTAGAAAGACCAAAAATGATAGATATATGTTTTATAAACAAAAGAGTTATTAATTTTTTGATGAAATTTTTCAAGTAAATATATAGGTGTCATATATAAGTTTTGTGATAAATTCAAATAATATCTATCCGAAACAGTATATAATAGCTACTGGTGTATCATAGAAACGCTCAGGTACAAGTCAAAGTCACTTTTCGCTAGAAAACTTTAAGGCTCTATTTTTCAAGATTCACTCCTTGTTAACCTCGGTATCGATTAAGTCGATTATTGAATGTGAGAATAATAATCTCGGTACATTTTTTAATTTTCTACCGAACGGATTTTAACAAAGCGAGGTGTCGGGTGATAGGGCTAGACGAGCCCTATCCGAAAAAAAAAATATGTATAATTTGGAAAAACCAAATGGGGGTTGCCAAATTATAAGTCGAAACGTGTAAATTTAACCAAATTTTACACCGAAAACTATCTTTCACAGGTGATGGTCTCCGACGGGACGCCCGGAGGTGCTTCAGGGCGGTGGTGGTATGCATGGAGTGTGTCAACGCAGCGATGGTGTAGCTTCCAGCACCAAAACGACCAGACACAGGTAGGTAATAACTTTTAAAAGTATGTTTTTGTAGTCTTTTGTTACAGAATTACAACGAAAATTGAAAAATTTAGAAAATCTACACAGCGAAACCCCGAAAGAGGTGTCCGCGTATAGAGGCTCGACGCCGTTGTCGATTTTATAAACCAAATGATCGATATATGTTAGAAAACAAAGAGTTATTAATCTTTTTGATGAATTTTTCAAAGTAAATATATAGTGTCAATATAAAGTTATTGTGATAAATTCAATAATAATCTATCCGAAACAGTATATAATAGCTACTGGTGTATCAATAGAACCTCAGGTACAAGTTCAAAAGTCAATTTTTACTAGAAAACCTTAGGTCGATTTTTCAAAGAATCACTCCCTTAGGTAACCTCGTATCGATTATCGATATTGAATGTGAAAATATAATCTCGGTAGCAATTTTTAATTTCTACCGAACCGGCATTTAACAACGAGTGTCTGTGATAGGCTAGAACGAGCCCTATCCGAATTTGTAATACTTTGAAAACAATGGGGTTTGCAAAATTATAAGTCGAAACGGGTAAATTGTACCCAAATTTGACACCGAAAACTATCTTTCACAGGTTATAGGTCCTCCGCACGGGACGCCGTGCAGGTGCTTCGGCGGTGGGTGGTAATGTCAGGGGAGGTGTCAACGCAGCGATGTGTAAGCTTCCAGCAACCAAAACGACCAGAACACAGTAGGTATCCTTTTTTAAAATATGTTTTTTTGTATCTTTTGTACAGAATTACAACGAAAATTGAAATTTAGAAAATCTACCCAGCGAAACCCGGAAAAGAGGTGTCCGCGTAGGCGACGCCGATTGTCGATTTTAGAACAAAATGATCGATATATGTTAGAAACAAAGAGTTAGTATTTTTTTGATGAATTTTCAAAGTAAATATATAGTATGTCAATATATAAGTTTTTGTGATAAATTCAAATAATATTCTCCGAAACAGTATATAATAGCTACTGTGTATCAATAGAACGCTCAGGTACAAGTTCAAAGTCAATTTTAGCTAGAAAAACTTTAGGTCGATTTTCAAAAATTCACTCACCTAAGGTAACCTCGGTATCGATTAAGTCGATTCTTGAATGTGAAAATATAATCTCGGTACAATTTTTAATTTCTACCGAACGGATTTAACAACGAGGTGTGCGGTGATAGGGCTAGACCTAGCCCTATCCGATATGTATAATTTGGAAATCAACAATGGAGGGGTTGCCAAATTAGAAGTCGAAAACGTGTAATTTAACCAATTTTACACCCAAAACTATCTTTCACGGTGATAGGTCCTCCGACGGGACGCCGGAGGTGCTTCAGAGCGGTGTGTGGTAGCCATTGCAGCGGGAAGGTGTCAAACGGTGCAGCGATGTTGTAAGCTGGCCAGCAAACCAAAACGACCAGGAACACAGGTAGTATACTTTTAAAAGTATGTTTTATTTGTCGCTTTTGTTACAGAATTACAACGACAATTGAAAAATTTAAAAATCTACACAGCGAAACCCCGAAAGAGGTGTCCGCGTAGAGGCGACGCCGTTGTCGAAGTTTTTAGAACCAAAATGATCGGGATATATGTTAGAAAACAAAGAGTTATTAATTTTTTGATGATTTTTCAAAAGTAACTATTAGGTGTCAATATATAAGTTTTTTGTGATAAATTCAAATAATATCTATCCGAAACAGTATATAATAGCTACTGGTGTACAATAGAACGCTCAGAGTACAAGTTTCAAATTCAAATATTTAGCTAGAAAAACTTTAGGTCGAATTTCAAAGATTCCTCCTTTATGTAACCTCAGTTATCGATTAAGTCGTTATTGAATGTGAAAATATAATCTCGTACAATTTTTTAATTTTCTACCGAACGGATTTTACAACGAGGTGTCGGGTGGATAGGGCTAGACGACCCTATCCGAATATGTAATAATTTGGAAAACAAATGAGGGTTGCCAAATTATAAAGTCGCAACGTGTAAATTAACCAATTTTACACCGAAAACTATCTTTCACAGTGATTAGGTCTCGCGACGGGACGCCGGAGTGCTTCATGCTGTGGTGGTATGCGGGGGGTGTTCAACGCAGCGTGGTGTAAGCTTCCAGCACCACAACACCGGAACACAGGTGGGTATACTTTTAAAAGTTTTTTTTGTAGCTTTTGTTACAGAATTACAACAAAAATTAAAAAATTTAGAAAATCTACACAAAAAACCCCCGGAAAAGGGGTGTCCCGTATAGGCACGCCGTTGTCGAATTTTAAAAACCCAAAATGACGTATATTTAAAAAAACAAAAGAGTTATTAATTTTTTGATAAAATTTTTTCAAAGAAAATTTATAGGTTCAAATATAAGTTTTGTGAAAAATTCAAAAATTTCTACCAAAACTATATATGCTACTGGTGTATCAATAGAACGCTCAGGTACAAGTTAAAAGTCAATTTTAGCTAGAAACTTAGGTCGATTTCAAGATTCCTCCCTTAGTAACCTCGGTATCGTTTAAGTCGATATTAAATGTGAAAATAAACCCGGGTAATTTTTTAATTTTCCCCAAAAATTTTTTAAAAAACGGGTGTCGGTGATAGGGCTAGACGACCCTATCCAATAGAAATATTTGGAAAACAAATAGGGTTCCCAAAATTATAAGTCAAAAACGTGTAAATTTAAAACCAAAATTTTTACACCGAAAACTATCTTTCACAGGTGATAGGTCTCCGACGGGACCCCGGGAGGTGTTTTCAGGGCGGGGGTTTGGTATGCGGGGGAGGTGTCAACGCAGGGGATGGGAAAAGTTTCCCCGCACCAAAACACCAGGAACACAGGTAGGTTATTTTTAAAAAAAGTATTTTTTTGTAGCTTTTGTTACAGAATTAAAACAAAATTGAAAAATTTAGAAAATCTACACAGCGAAACCCCCGGGAAAAAGGTGTCCGCTATAGGCAAAACCCGTTGCAAATTTTAAAACCAAAATGTCGTATATGTTAGAAAACAAAAGGTTATTAATTTTTGATGAAATTTTTCAAAGTAAATATATAGGTCCATATATAATTTTTGTGATAAATTCAAATAATATCTACCGAAACGTATAAAATAGCTCTGGGTTCAAGAACGCTCAGGTACAATTTAAAAGTCAATTTTCTAGAAACTTTGGTTTTTTTCAAAGTTTCATCCCTTAGGTAACCTCGGTATCGTTTAAGTCGATTATTAAATTAAAAATATAATCTGGGTAAAAATTTTTAAATTTTTCTACCGAGGGATTTTAAAAAACGGGGGTGTGGGGTGAGGGGGCTAGCGACCCATCCAAATATTAATATTTTGGAAAAACAAATGGGGGTTGCCAAATTATAAGTCGAA